AATCATTAACTTCTTTTCCATAATCTCAGCTCCTATCATCCTCTTGCCCCACATTTTTTTTAAAGACTAAAATACTAGCTGAGACTTTGTCCTTGAAGGTATTTATCAGAGAGGTGGGATCCGGGGATTTTTGTGAGAAATCCATTTTACAAAGATGATGGCTCTGAACCCACGAGTGGAAGAAAATTCAACTGTTTCCTTTCCGGAGTGCTACCAAGTCATTCGAACTACTAGGAAGCCAGTCAGTGTCCTGGAAAAAGTTAACAAACAACCTTCCAGGTTTAAAAGACTGAAGAGCTTATTATTCAATGACTTGACTTTGGCAGAATCCAGTTCAATGTTCGCATTTTATATGCAAATACCATTCGGTGTTTAAATACACTCACAACGGGCATCTTAATGTCCTACGCAGGAAAAGGTGTCATGGTGAAATAATTTATTGAATCTAAGATGCCACTCATTATACCACCAAAAAGAAAAAATGTTGCTATTTATAAGACGCCATCAACTGTAACATGAAATCATTTTTAGGGTTGTTAAAACATGAACAATAATGGCCATGTTAAAACACGTTGAATTCTATCATGTGTACCAAGCACTGTTCTGAACATTTTTCATGATTAACACATTTGATCCTCATAAGTACCCAAGGAGGAGGAACTGCCATGTTACCATTTGACAAGGGCATGGGCAGGTGAAGAAACATGCCTTAACTAGCTGCTAAGGGTTTGACCTGAGAATCAAACCCAACTGGTCTGGCACTAGCCCCTACAGCCTTCGTCCCTCCACCATTCTACCTCCATCTTGTTAACTACTAACTTGGAACAATAGGACAGGTGGCTCTCACCTCTTAAAACATAGATGTGCCAAGCAGGATCCCCTGTTGATGACTGAAACCCAAGGAAGAATTATCTCTGAAACCAGAACTCCCAACCACCAGGCAGGAGGCCATAAGGCAAAAAGGGCCAGGGGCTTGGGCCAGTGACTCCTCCCTTCTCCACCCTGGAGAAGTGAACTCCAAAGTCCCCAAGGACATGTGACTTATCAACTCATGTCTAAGGATGACCCTGGATGGTGAAAAAGGAGTAGGGAATGTAGACTTAGGAAATGTAAGAATTTAGCACCTTCCCTCCAAAAGAAGTCCTCAAATTACAGTAATTTCTCCACTGTGGATCTCCAAGAGTCTAACTCTGAAGTGGTTCCCATGAAGCATAACTGAAGTTAAAGAGAAGAAAAAAACCACCATCCATGGAGGATTTGACACGCATCATCTCACCGAATCATCCCAATAATCCTCTGAAGTGGCATTGTTTTCCCTTTTTCACAGTTGGGGAAGTTTGGGACAATAAAGTCCCATTATCACTTGGCTACAGAGCCTTGCTTGAACCCTGTCTGGTCCAACGCTGGTGATTTCTCAGAGTCTAGTACGTCATCCTACTAAATTGGCCTGGCTAGCTTTCGGCAGATTCCTAAAGTGTCCTCAACTCAAGTGCTTCAAGACCCAAAGATTGTTGGCCATCAGCTGTCCTGAGCAGTACATCCACCGAGGGACCAACAACTGGGCTCAACAAACACAAACACAAAACTCTAGGTAAATAAACAGGAAAGCTGTGCCTTGTTTTTTTAGGTGAAGTACACTATATTCCCACAGTAATTATGAGAGGGGGAAAAAAAGCCAAACATTTGGTAAACAAATGCAAAGCCAGTAACTGAAGCTGACAATAGATCACAAAATATCAGCCCTCAGTCTTGTGGAACAGAAAACTTGGATGAATATTTTCTTTTTCAAAACTTAAAAGACCTTCATCTAGAAAAATACTAAGGATATAAAAAGCGTCACTACCGCCACTCAAAATGAACATATGTAAACATTTTACCATATCTGATTCTGATTCTGCCTCTACTTAAAAAAAAAGTGAGAAAGTTTCACACTTGAAGTTGAAATCCCTTCCTCTTCTGTGCCTGGCTGACAGTTACCATAAATTTGTTGTGAACCTGGTCCATGTTTTAACAAAAATTTTATATTTTATACAATATGTAAATATATCCATAAACAATATATTCTTAAATGATTTTAGTGGTTTCCACACTTAGGTTTGTAAACTCCTTCTGGAGTCTAGTTTTGAATATGAGGTGAGGTAGGAATCTATTATTTTATTTCTCCATGTGAAATGTCAATTGACCCAATGTCATTTACTGAGAAATTTATCTTTCTTCCCCATGGATTGGAGTCACTTTGCACCAAACTCACATTATCAGCTTAGGACTATTTCTATCTTTATGTTAATACCTTACTCTTTTATATGGTTTTGTTATCGAATATGATGACTCTTCCCTTCTTGAACTTTGTTCAAAATTTGACCTATTTTTGAAGTTTTTATTCTTCCATTTGATTTTATAATCAGTTTATGACAGTCCTGTTAAGATATTGACTGGAACTACATTTAATTTGGAGATTAATTTAGGAAATCATTTACTGTTTTATAGTCTTCCCATCTATGAACATGGAGTATTTATCATTTATTCAAGCCTCTGTTATGTCCTTCCTTTATAATAATTTTGTCTAGAAAAGTTAGATTTGTTCTTAGGTATCTTAAAGTTGTGTTGGTATTGATGATGAACTTAATATTTTCTAATTGATTATTACTGATCTATGAAATACTATTGATATTTATATGTTGATCTAATACCCAGGAACCTTGCTGAACTCAAATTGTTTTAACTATTGAATATTTTATCTATTTCAGAGAATTTATAAATTCTCTTAGGTTTTTAATTTAGACATACCATCTGCAAATTACAAAAATGTTTTATCTTTGGTAACATTCCTTAAACCATTCTTTCCTGTTTCAATTTTAATTTTATTTTTAAAAAATCATTACAATTTTAAATCTTGATATAATTTCAAACATATCAAAAAATTGCAAGAATAGTCAAAAAAATTCCTGAGCACCCTTTACCCAGATCCTCTAGCTGTTAACATTTGCTCTTTTGCTTTGTCATTTGCATTTAAGAGTATATTGCTAGCCGGGTGCGGTGGCTTACACTTTGGGAGGCTGAGGCAGGAGGAACATCTGAGCCCAGGAGTTTGAGACCAGCCTGGGCAACATGGCAAGACCCTGTCTCTACAAAAAATAAAAAATAAACAAATTAATAAAAAAAAATGCATTGCTGATGTCATGTTCTTTGACCCCTAAATATTTCAGGGTGAATTTCCTAAGAACAAGGACATTCTCTTACATAACTATAGTACAATGATCAAAATCAGAAAGTTTAACACTGATATAATGCTATTATCTAATCTGCACTCCATATTCAAATTTTGCCAGTTACCCAGTAATATCATTTGGGCTATTTTTCTCCAGTTCTGGTTCCAGTCCAGGATCTTATATTGCATTTAGTTGACTTGTCTCTTTAGTCTTCTTTAGTCTAAAACAATTCCTCAGCCTTCCTTTGTTTTTCATGACCTCGACAATTTAGAGAGTACAGGCCAGTTATTTTATAGAATCCCATCAGTTTGAGTTTGTGTGAAGTTTCCTTACGATTAGATTTAGGTTATGCATTTTTTGGCAGGAATACCACAGGGGTCAGGGCGTGTCCTTTTAAGTACATCATATGATTCCTCATACTGGTTTGCTCCAGGGTTGATAAATGTTACAGACGTTTGGTTAAGGTGGTATACACCATGTTTTTCTATTATAAAATTATTTATATTTCCCCTTTCCATTAATAAGTAATTTGCAGAGAAATACTGAGTCCATGTAAATAACCTGTCCTTCATCAAACTTTTCACGTGCTAGTTTTAGCATTCAGTGATGTTTACTGCTTAAATCAATTACCATTACAATGCTTGCAAAAGGTGATTTTCTTCTAGTAATACATTTCCCATTATTCCTTCTACATTTGCTCATTTGCTCAAACTTACATTGCGTAGAAAATAATTTCCGTATTGTTAGCCCATACTAGGGTAAGAAACAAACTTATGACAATTACTTGGGGTAGGTCTTTTTTCCTCCTTTTCAGTGTGGTTACTTTATTCATTTAAAATACACTTAGGTTCCTTTATTTCTGTTTATATTCCATTTTAGTATCTTCCATCTCCCACCCCCACCTAATCCCTGTTAATTTGGTTTTATTATTTTTGAGTGTGGAAAACATTAACATGACTTCAAAAGTTGAACTATTCACAAAGGTACACTCCCATAAGTAATGCCTCTCTCTCCATCTCCCCACCCTGCCCCTGTAATACCTAATCTCATTAGTTTCTGTTTGTCCTTTCTATATTTTCACAAAACAAGCAGATAGATGTATACTTTCTTCTTTCCTTTCTTACACAAAGGAGGAAAATCACAGAAGACTTTACAAATTTGTGTGCCATCATCACACAGGGACCTGCTTATGGTCTCTTTATCATTGCAGTTTTAGATTATATGCTGTCAAAGCAGTTATTATCTTTCTTTTCTTCTTGTATTGTCTAGTTTCTCTCTAACATGTTGGATAGTAGAGGTATAGCAGGCATCCTTGTCTTATTCCTGACCTGGTTTAATGTTTAGTGTTTCAACACAAACTTTTATGAGCATCTCCCACATGCCAGGTATTCTGGATACAATCTTAAGTCAGAAAGACTTGGTGTCTACCCTCAAAGAGCTTTAAACTAGTTGGAGAGACAGTGCAATGAGAAATTATATTACAGCATGATAAGCACTGTGGTTCAGGGGGCAGACACAAATAGAGTGGTATAGAAACATGCAGGTAAGTACATGGCCGAGTGCTAACCCTTCAGAGATTGTACATGAGAAGTCTAGTCTGAATCATCTCCATCTGCCTTTTCAAAATTTCAGGACACAACCCAAAGTGTGAAATTACTCAGAGAGAACCTAGGATTTCTGTAATTCCTTGTCTTCTTAAATACATTTTGGGCAAATAGAATCAATGTTGACATTGGTAACAGTTATGACTAGGCTAACTCTTTTTCTGTTTCATTAAATAAATTAAAACAGCACTGAAAAAAGAGAAGATGGAAAACTTCTGCTTCATGGCTACCAACATGAAAAATGAAAGATCCATTGTGTGACCTTGAGTAAGTTATATGACATCTCATTATCTTTTTAAAGGAAAAATGTATTAATAAAAATTGTTTTAGCTGAAACATATGCGAGTTAAGAGTATGTTACATGATACTTCATTCCTAAGTGTGTCAACATGTATTTCCTAAGACCAAGGACATTATCCTACATATCCACAATGCAATGATCACATGGAAGAAATTTAATACTGATTCAATACTATACCATACTATTATCCTATAGATGGTCTATATTCAAATTTCCCCCAATTGTTCCTATAGTATCTTTTCTTGCTCCCTAAATCCCCTCTCCCAAGTTAGGATCTTCTAATCAAGGAGCAAGTATTACATTTGGTTGTCAAATAACTTCATTGTTCTTAATCAAGGACAGTTCTCCAGCTCTGTGTTTGCTTTTGGTGTTGGTCTTTACCTACATGTTTATTCTTGAAGCATTTTGGCCAGTTGTTTCTTGGGGTGTCCCTCAACTTGGACTCATCAGTTTCCACATGATTAAATCCAGGTTAAACACTGTGGCGAGGGGATCCCTGGCTGCTGCTGCTGCATCTTTCTCCTTGTGCCACAATGGGAGGCGTATTATGTCAGTGCGTCTCATTATTAGTGAGGCAACATTTGTTTATTTGATTGTATCCACTAGATTTCCCCATGTTTGTAATTGATACGTAATCTCTGCAGCCACACACTGGAACAGTGTGAATATCCTCCTTCCTAATACTTGCTTCACTTGATGGCTTTTGTACCCACTGATGACTCCTTTGAGTCAATTACTACTACAGTGGTTGCAAAATGGTCATACAGATCTTGATACTGATTTTCTAGCTCCAAATTCTAGTTTCCCAACCATGATTCAATGCTGTCTTTGCTTACACTGCTTTTTTTTTTATTTCCGCATATTATGGGGGTACAGATTTTAAGGTTTCAATAAATGCCCATTTCCCCCCCTCCCCCCAAAAGTCTGAGTCTCCATCATGACCATCCCCCAGATGGTGCACATCTCACTCATTATGTATGTATATACCCGCCCCCCTCCCCCCTCCCACCTGCCCAATACCCTATTAGCTTACACTGCTTTTGACCAGTTTAGTTAACTGTCTTCCTAACCCTTGGTACTAACACATCAGCACGGCCTTTTTGGATTTTTCCCAGCACCAGTGAACCAGGCTGAGACAGAAAGCAGACACTACTTTAAGATGTCTCTATTAATAATAATGACTACAAGCTGCAGGTTCTGGCTTCTCTGAATGCAGAGGTAAACTGCATTGTGACTATTCTTCTAAGACTCATAGCCCCCATGCCAGACACAAATTCCTTTTGCTCATGTGTTTTTTAAATCCAGCTCTCAGATCACAAATTGTACGACAAATAGCAATGGCCACATCTTAAGGAATCAAACATGATCTGTTTTCTATTGTCCTCAAAATGGCACCTTAGACACAGATCAAGCAAGGACATTGACTTGCCACTTCATGGGCCAAAGTGGATAATCCTCCTTCCAAACTGCAAATGGGGGTGTTTTGTGCAGCCTTCTTTTGAACAGGTACTGACTTATTAGAGAAAATTGCAGATTTTGTAGGTGGCTGGTTATAATAATCTAAGGTTAAAAACAGAACCATAAAAGTTGAAGACATCAGAGATCATTTCTAAAAATAAAGCAAAGGCTTTTTTTCTTTCAGTAATCCTCAATTAGAAGCCATTTAAGGAAAAGATAATCAGCTCCAGAGACCTGTAAATATGGATTCTACAGTTCTCACTGTCACTCCTGCTTTCCAATTTAATTTTAGTGCATTTTGAAATGTGTTAATAAATTATTTTACCCTACATCCATCCATGTTGTCCTCTTGATGGTATGAATACAAATAAAGTAGTCCCCCCCTTATCTGTGGAGGGTATGTTCCAGAAAACCCAGTGGATGCCTGAAACCTCAGATAGCACAGAACCTATATACACTGTTTTTTCTATCTGATCACTGAGACTGCTGCTAAGTGATGAATGGGTGGGTAGCATGTACAGTGTGGATATGCTGGACAATGGGATGATTCATGTCCCAGGAGACATGGGGTGGGACAGTGAGAGATTTCATCACGCTAATCAGAAGAGCATGTAATTTAAAACTTATGGATTGTTTATTTCTGGAATTTTCCATTTAATATTTTTGAACTGCAGTCGACCGCCGGTAACTGAAACCACAGAAAGCAAAACCACAGATAAGGGGACACTGCTGTATTAATTATGAAACAAACTTTGTGATGACCTTTGTAATAGCAAATCCTCAATAAATATAGCTCTTCTTAAATGATGGAATTCCTTCTTTGTCGGCTGGTAACTTCCATGGAAAGCTGCTAGTGGACAGGAAGAGAACGTCTCTGATGTCTCTTCAAAGCAATGCAAGTTGAGCCCAGTCAAAGCATTGAGATGTTTACGCAATTCATCCAAAGGAGGCACCCAGGGAAAGGAGCTAGATTTCTCTGGTCAACCTTTGTAGTTAACCAAATGAGATAGTCTATTTCCTAAAACCAAGGACAACTCAGTGATTAAAAATGAATCTTAACCAAAGAGTAAAGATAATAATAACTTGAAAGCCATGGAAAGGTCCTTCTCAGGACCTGGGAGCTCTCCATCCTGGACCACCTAGAACCTTCTCTTTTCTGTCACTCTTCTCCCTAGATAATCTCATCCATTTTCATCTCTGAATTATAACCCACACCTCTCTATGAACTCTAAGTTTGCATATCTAACTCTTCACCTACCATTTCTATTTGGAAGGCTCATTGGTATCTCAAACAGATCATGTCTACAATGGCGATCTTGAATTTCCCCTCAGAACCCATTTCTCCTTCACTGGGGAAGGCCAACAAATAAAGTTAGAAAGCCCGGGGTCATCCTTGTTTTGCCCCCATCTCATGCCCCACATCAACAGAAAGTCAATCTGTTTCCAAAGATCCATTCCTCCCCTCTTTGCTGCCTGCCATCTTTCCAGCCCAGAGCTTGTCTTATCTGCATCATTGTCACGGCTCCCCGCTCCCACTCTTGCCATCCTTCCAATCCTTCCACTCACACTCCATGGAATGGCCAGAGTAAACATTTAAAGACACACACCACCGAAGGTAATGGGGTGTCCTACTCTGGAATCTAGAACAGAAGAAAAAGGATATTCATGGGAAAACTGGTGAAAGCTGAATAAAGTCTGCAGTTTTGATAGACGTATCCTGGTTAAGTAGGATGTTAACACAAGGGGAAGCTGGGTAGAGGGTATATGGGGACTCTCTGCACTGTCTTTGCAATGTTAGCATAAATTTAAGATTATTCCAAAATAAAAAGTTTATTGAAAGACTCCATAAACAACGTCATGTCACTCCTTTGTTTGAAATCTTTGAATAAGTTCCCACGGCACTAAAATCCAGACTCTTTTCTGAGGCCGAGGCCGCACAGGCCTTAACGTGGTCTTGCTCCCTTGGCTTTTTCAATCTCATTTGCTAACCGTCTCCTTCCTCTTGCTCCTAATGCTCTGGCCAGTGGTTTTCTAACAGTTCTGGAATATGTTAGGTTTTGCCTTCTGTATGAGTTTGCCAGGTCTGCCATAGCAAAATACTACAGACAGGCGACATAAACAATAGAATGTGATTGTCTCCCAGCTCTACAGGCTGGAAGTCCATTTCGAGCTGTGGCCAGGGCTGGTTTCTTTTGAGGCTTCTCTCTGTGGTGTGCAGATGGCTCCTCACTGTGTCTTCACATGGCACACCCTGTCTCTTCATAAGTCCAAGTTTTCTCTTCTTATAAGGACACCAGTCAGATTGGATTAGAGCCCACCCTAATGGCCTCATTTTAACGTAATGACCTCTTTAAAGGCCCTATCTCTAAACACAGTTGCATTCTGAAGGCTTCAACATATGAATTTTGTGGGGGAGGAGACACATCTCTGCCCATAACAAGCCCCTCGCGTGGAAAGTTCTATAGATGTGGCTCTTTCCTATGTTCAAGTCTTACATGGACTTGCCATCTCTTCCAAGAGGACTTTCCTGACCATGCAGCTTCAGGCTGATGCCCTCCATCCTGGTATTGCCTTCTCGGCACTTACTACCGCTGTAATTGTTCTGTTTGTTGACTTATTACTGGCCTCCCCTCTTTCTGTGAGTGGTGGAGGACAGAGCTGTCTCACTCATTGCCGTATCCTCAATGACTCTCATAATGCCTGGCATATAGTAGGTGCTCAAAACTTGCTGAACAGCTTTATTGGTTTATTGACAATTTGGACAAAGAGTCTCATTAGGAAATCATCATTAACACAATCAGTCCCAAGGTATGACCATCACCATCACAATATTCTAATGTCTTCACAGCACTTTACAGTTTAGGAAATGCTTCCATATACAAAAACCTCTATGAATCCCCTATACTCTGATGCAAGCATTATATTATTATATATATATAATATATATATATTATAATAATATATATATTATTATATATATATTTATTTATTAAATAAAAAACTAAGATTTTGATTGGTTGGGGGAATTGTTTAAGGTCATAGAGCTTGAACTACAATACTGATCTTTTTGTTTCACAGAGAACAACTCTGTGTTCTCTCATTACCGCACAGATGAACTAGAAACTAAATACATTCCAAATACTTCTTTTAGGCAACTTCCAAGGAGAGCTCTGTGAGAGACAGAGCTTTGTGTTTCCAGGAACTAAACTGGACGTTCTTTCCATCTTATCAGAGGAGTTTCTTTGCCAAGGAATAATGTCCTTGTGATATGTGGCTAATGAGAACATCCATGGTACCCTGAGGCTCTTTTATTGTGTGGGTGGGTGAGGGCTGGGTGGTGGTTATAAACATGCTTTTTCTAAACTGTTCCAGTTCCAGGAGTATGAAGAAGTGAAGACATTTGGAGAACCTGCTTTCCTAAGTGTTTACAGTTAGTTTTAAATAGCACTTAGTAATCCTTAAATTTATAGTTCTCACCCTCGTCACCCCTTAGATTCACCTGGGGGAGCTTTGGAAATCCCAGTGCTTGATTGAACTCCACTTTAGACATATGAAATCTAATGGTTGGGGGTGAGAGGTGGCATTAGTGATGGCTAAAGCTTCCCAGGTGAGTTTAATATGCCAGCCACGATTGAGAACCTCTGGTCTAGATCCTCACGTGGGTGGGGGTGGCATATCCCATGCCCCCTAAAGGAACATGTCAGGTTCAGTCTGAGAGATGACTCTCTAAAACCATGCACACCCTCACCTGGAGAGTTCGGAATTCTGGAAGGGAGCGTTATGTCCTTCGTGTGTCGCTTAGGTTAGATCAGTCTGCACCCAGGACCAATTAAATAAAAATCCCAGGGGGTGGGGCCCAAGTTAAAACTTCTCAGATGAGCCTGATGTGCAGCCAAGGCTGAGAACCACGGCTTTAAAGGGTGCCTGTTTTGTTTGGAAGAGGAAGTAAAGTAGTGAGGCTGCCCCCATTAACCCCACAGCGCACTAGTAACCTGGCAGCAGCGGTCACACGCACAGCCTCTACTTCAGCTGAACCAGGCAGTACTAAGCACGACTCCCCCAGGTCTAGATTTATGGCCTTGGACAAACAACAGGACCTGACCTTGGCATGGTGTTATCCTCCATAGCACTAATTAAGGCCTAAATAATTCTCATAAGTATGTGCATAAATTAAATGGGCCTCAATTTAAGACAACTTCCCCATTGTGTCCTGGTTAATGTAATCACAGTTTGCAGGTTTTCATGATCATAAATATACTAGTTTTATTTTTCACAAGGAGCAGAAGATACTTATGTCTAGTTATCCTGCTACTATTTTATTTCTTACTAAATATTGGGTCACATAAAAAACTTACTTATATGGTAATTGATAATAAGATAACGACATGTCCTGGATTCAACCACTAATCAATGTGATTATCACTAGCATCTTTCAATTTAATTATTGCTTCTTATCGTCATCAATTTCATTAAATTTTTGGCAGGTAGGGAGGAAACAGGGTGCAGATAGCAGTATGAAGGATGGTAGCTAAGTGATAAGACTCTACACCTAGAAAATGCAAAGAAATGAACTGAGCTTATTAAATAATTTGGAAGCACAGTGAGACAAGAGAAATATCCATGACTGCCTCCCACCAAAAACTCCATACTCCACTGGGACAGAAAAAGAGCACACCAGCACATGCTTTGGCTTAAGGCTCTAGTTTTGAACCCCTGGCTAGACAAAGCTATCTTTTAATAATTAAAGAATTTTTAGATAAATATATGTTTCTCATTTTATTTTTATTTTTATTTTTTTTTATTTTTTTATTTTTTATTTTTTTTTAACTTTCCTCTTCTACTGGATATGTTTCTCATATTCAGATTTTGAAGCATTAACAAGAGTGAATGAAAATCAATGCCACTTTCCTTTTCTGCCTCCCCAGGACCAATCCGAAAGCCAGATGGATGAGCAATTGCTGCTGCTGAATGTGGAATTTGGAGGAGGCCGAATGGGGAGGAAGGCTGCTTGAGCTGGGGTGAGGCTGTCTGATTCAGTGGCCTCAGGAGCGAGGCCCAGGGGTCTACAGAGCAGAGCCGGACAGAGGCTGGGGGTGAGGATCTGGGGCAAAAACACACATAGGGCATCTCCAGTGTAACAAGGCGGCACGACATGGGCTGGGGCAAGTTGAGTGTCAGGACAGACAAGGAACAGGCTCCATGGGCAGTCCCCAAGTCAGCACGCTGAGGAGGAGGTGGCGTGGCTACCACAGCTGGTATTGCTCCCAGAGGAAGCAGGCTGTGTGCACAAGGGCTACACAGAGTGCCCAGGGGCTCAGTGGTTTCTCTTGCAGGTCCACCTAAATCTCAAAGGGGTCTGGTCCTCAGCATGGGCGTGGATCCTAACTCTCAGGTGGATTACCTGACATTTTAAATTTCTAGAAGAGTAGTGAAAAGGCTAAGTTCCTAGGAGAGTAGTGAAAAGAACTTAGCATCTGCTACACGGGATATAAGATAATACCTTATAACCATGTGAATTCTGGGGACTATCTGAACTGAGCAGGATAAACCAGAGATTACTGTGGTCCCACCACCCTATAAGAATCACAGCGAGGCCACATGTCCTCTCTGCAGCTCTTCAAAAGGAGAGCTATTCTGAATTAACTCAGGGGGACAGAGGCATGCAGAAAAAGAGAAATCAAAGGAATCAGTTTGAAACAACTAAAAGATGTTTTAAAAAAATTTCCCCTTATATTTTCATATTGTGCCAGAAAAAGCAACTCAGGTACCTGACACTTTTCCTGAGAGTCCACAGCTACATCAAAATGGTTAAGCCCACTTTAATATCCAGTGACCAGCAACTATTTCAAGAAGTCCACCAAAGTATGGGGTACAAGGAGCCAGAAAAAATCATATTGGGAAGGATACTTCACAACATGTTAAAAATAGCATACTGTACAATTCAATTTTAGAGGAATTTGTAAAAAAAAATTATTAATAATTTGCAACGTGAACCAAATTGCTAATAGCAGTCATCTCTGAACTGTGGGGTTGCTACTGGTTTCTTTTTTCTTTTTTGATACTTTTAGGTTTGTATTTTTCAAATTTTAATAATCATTATGAATTTTCCAATCTGAAAAAAGTCATTATTTTATAAAGGTTCAAGTTTAAACACTGTGTGACACTGTTTTAGACACTGTGGTTTCAATGAAGTTGGCCAGCAAAGTACCTCTGATTTTAGGCCACTGACAAGAGGATGGTCCTAAACGTTTCCCCTGGGATCACCACTTCAAAGGGATCACAGTACCTCTGCCAGCTGGATTGTTCTCTACTCTAGAAAATTCCAGGTACTCTGGAAGTTCAAACAAAGTACTTGGCTGAAATTTAATAAAAGTTTAAATGCTTCATGAGGCAAGTATTTTGCAGGGGCATCCCTTGATTTTTAGGTTGGATGTACGAGTTGTACACGTGTATACTGCATATGTGAACATAAGCATAGTCCTGCTAATACATACAGTATGCACACATGTATCTGACTGGATTCGCTTTTCTAAGTAAACATTAATAGTCACTGAGAAGATGCAGGCTCCATCCCATTGTCAGAAACCAAATCCTGGAGTCCTAAGTGCCCCACCACCCTCTCTACTTACAGGCCAACGGCCCCAGGCCACAGAGATTTCTGCACAGAGGCCCATGGAAAGTACATAAAAATGAGAAGAAAGAAAAGCTAGACAAAAAAATAATGACAGGGAGAAGTCCCAGGGAAATGGCCCTCAAAATCCAAAGGCCAGCCATATCTCTGAGGTCCCAGGCACAGGTCTTGCTGCTGGCCCGGGTCGCACGAGGGGCCTTGAGAAGTAGTGCGGATATCAGAGCCCAGGAGGCAAGCACAGTGTGTAATGGGGGTGGGGTGGGGACTACTCACGCGGTCGTTGCTTCCTTTGTTGTCCTCATACTTGGTTTCTATATGAATGGAGAATTTCGGCAGAAAGGAACACTGTGGGGAAAAACCAAACTTTCGTTAGCACAGCATTTTTTCACCCTTCCCATATTCAGTATAGCCTCTAGATGCTCTTCTGGCTGTTTGGTTGGGAGTGCTCTCCTGGAGCAGAAATGTTAAGATACTAGGTCAATATTCAAATTCAGACAAGAAAAGCTGCCTTTGGGAGCATGAACACAATTTCATCCAGAAGTTGGGCCACAGAGAATAACCAGCCATAGCAGCAAGTCACTGAAGAGGACATTCCCAAAGGAAAATGTTCTGGGAGTCCTACCATAAGCTTTAGAAAAGCAAACCCTGAAACAGGCCACTTCCAGTTCTGGGGAGCTGACCTTTGGGGAGCAACAGCCCTGCTGGATTCCTGGGGACCCAGCCTTCATTTTTACATAAATACACATATAAAGTCAGGGAGGTGGTAAAGGAGAACTTTACGATCACAGATTATTGAAGTCAGACAGACCTGGCTTTTACTAGGTGACTTTGGACAAATCGTTTAAGTTCTCTGAACCCCAGCAGTATTAAAACAGGAATAACAACTATTACCTAAGAGTGACATTGTGAGGATTAAATAAAATCATGTACATAAAAATATAGTGCTGAGCACTAAGAAAACATTTAACAAACAGCAGCGATCAGTATGACCTTGACCAGAAAAGGCAGCCCCCTCTCTTCACCCACACGAGGGAAAGAAACCCCAAATGCAAAACCACCCTAGAGTCACAGTCTCCTTGAGTCATGTTCTACACATTCAGTTTATTTGAAAAAAGGATTTTGGCCGGGTGCGGTGGCTCACGCCTGTAATCCTAGCTCTCTGGGAGGCCGAGGCGGGCGGATTGCTCGAGGTCAGGAGTTCAAAACCAGCCTGAGCAAGAGCAAGACCCCGTCTCTACTATAAATAGAAAGAAATTAATTGGCCAACTGATATAGATATGTAAAAAATTAGCCGGGCATGGTGGCACATGCCTGTAGTCCCAGCTACTCGGGAGGCTGAGGCAGAAGGATCGCTTGAGCCCAGGAGTTTGAGGTTGCTGTGAGCTAGGCTGACGCCACAGCACTCACTCTAGCCTGGACAACAAAGTGAGACTCTGTCTCAAAAAAAAAAAAAGAAAAGAAAAGAGGATTTTGATGGGTGCTGGTGTGACGACCCTCCCACTAGCACTGCGCCGCACATTAACTTTCTCAGCCACCAGAGATGGGCTTGAAGACTAATAGGTAAAATGACCCAGCAACTCCACTGGGAGTTGCAGGTGTTGGGGAAATGAGACTTGGCCCCTTATGATCACAGTCCCCAAGAGGCAGGGTCCTGTATTTATGTATCCAACACTCACAGAGCATATACTCTCCAAACCAGGTACTGCTATAAATATGTTGAAGTTCTAACTCATTTATTCCTTGCAACAACCCCATGGAGGAGGTACTATTATTGTCATCCCTACTTTAAAGATGAGGAAATGGAGGCTCAGAGAGGTTAAGTAAATGGCCCATGATCACACAGCTAGTGAGTCGTAGAGTCAGGACTGAAGCCAGATGGCCTGGTCCCAGTGTCCATGGTCTAGGCCACTACCCAGTGATTCTCAAAGTAGTATTCTCCGGACCAGCTGCAGTAGCATAACCCTAGAACTTGTCAGAAATGCAAATTCTCAAGTCCTACGCCAGATCAACTGAATCAGAAACTCTGGAGGTGAAGTCCAGCAATCTGTGTTTACCAAGCTGTCCAGGGTATGCTGTGAACACTTGAGTTGAAAAACCACCTCACATACCATGCATGGGAAGGAAACAGAGAAAGTACATCAGCTAAAATCCCATAGTTCACAAATACCCATTCTCACTGCACGTGCTTCACCTGCACAATGACCACGCTCCCCTTCTAGCCCAGCTGGGACTCTGGTGACATGTACACGAGAAGGCAGAGGCCTTGGACATACTATCGATAACTCTCCTGACATCACATGCCTGTGCATGGTCAGCATTCATCTGTCTTAATCTGAGTGAAGCAATCTGAACCGTGACTAAGGAAACACGGAAACAATCAATCCCAGTAATTGCATTTATGGAGAACGAGGCCCTGTGATTATTCATTAACACCTTCTCTGCTGTCTCCTCTCAAACCTCTGGCTCCGTAACCGCTGCCCTCACACCTGGGTCCAGGGAGTACTAGGGAGGGGCTGCTTGTCCCAAATCAAGATCCTAGAGGACTCAGAGCCCTACTACAAAGCCCCGATTAACACAGGAATGTGGGGAGATGCCCTTGCCAAGAGATCTTCTTAACAATAACAAGCCTTTAAGTAAATAGATTTTGTACTTTTTACCCCATACTTCACCTGAGAGTCAATTCAATCAGTGGTAAGACAACAAAGCCGTGTAGGGTGGGCGTGGGTCTGGGTGCACCAGAGTGGAACTCCGCAAGGAATTTTTATCAGTTGAACCTCTAAACAACTAGCCCAACAAATGAATTTTAGCATTTGGGTATTAAACTCATATATGAAATGCAAAACTCCCATGCAAATTAACAGATGTTGATATTTTTGAGTCAAGGACTTAGGTTATTTTCATGTCAGAATGATAACACTGCCAGGAGGCTGGGCATGCACCTGGCTTCAGCAAGGCAGGAGGAGAATGGGGACCAACAGGCCAACTCTGGGCTGGTCAGCGTTTTCTCCTCCAGCAGGTGGTCTGGGGCTGGTAATCCCCTGGGGATGTCTGATGGCTGCTGGTTCTCAGAGCCCTGGAATGTGCAGGTGTCTCAAGTTAAAATAAGAAATATCTGTGGCTCCAGGCTTTTCCAGAGCTATCATTAAATCTTCCCAGTGAGATGTCCATCTTAAGATAAACTTCTGCCTCCCCCATGCGGGTTAGCTTCTCCGAAAATCCAGCCCACGGATCCTAGCAGAGCCTTAACTGTTCAGCAAGGTCTTTTATTTCTCGCTGGTTGGCTCCCTGTAGGATCCCCCCTGCTGAGGTTATCTTAACCCTTTCTTCTCTCAAGGTGCCCTACTTGGCATCACCCTTCCTCCCTCGAAGCTGATCATTTTGATTCACAGTAGAATGGGGACATGGACCATGTGATAGAAACAACTATGGACCATGTGGACCATGGACCACATGGACCATTTCTATCACATGAACCATGTGATAGAAACAACTAAGGGAAGAAATAACTTCCCTTTCCTCCACTGCAAATGTGCTTATTTTCTTGATGCTTCTTAGTCTTTGTGAATCAGGGAAAGGCACTGCCTTCCTTTTCCAATTGAAAAATAATCTAATGAAAAGAACTGAGACATTGGAGTCAGCTGACTTGGGCTCAAATCCCAGATGTATTGACTTGGGCAAATTATTTTACTCCAGCCTCAGTTTCTCCATTTATAGAACAGGGATGATTCTTCTCTACTCTGTCGGAGTATTCAGAAGATCAGTGAGATCATACAGGTAAACCCCAACACAGTGCCTGGCACATAGTAGGAGCACAGTAAAAAAATATTCATAAGCTCTTTTCTGGAACTTTGTTTCATTGATTATTTTCATCTTCTCCCTGCTTCCTTCCCACAGCCTAAAACTATAGTGAAAAATGTCTTATCCTTAAAAAGCGAATAAGCACAAAGTTCCTTTGATTATGTTTCTTCCTCTATGTATAGTCAATCTTTCTCTCTTTGTCCTCACAATCAAACTTATTAAAAAAATAGTCAGTGATTGCCGTTTCTACTTTTTTGCCTCCAACTTCTCAACCAGTGCAATTTAGTACAGAGATGACTGTAATCAAAGAATTCCCAAACCAGCCTCCCTTTTCCATCAGCACCCTAGAGACCTCACTACACTGTTGGATAGGATGGAGCCACTCCTCCGTCCTGAATAGCAGTTCCTTCTCAGCCTGTCTTCCCTCCTCCACCCCTGCCCTGCAGTGGTCCCTCTGCAGGTGGTCCCTCAGATCCTGTGCTCCAGCCTCTCCTCTTCTTGATCCAAACCATCACCCCTGGTGATCTCATGCTTTTGACTCTTCCAAGACCACTTTTTGCAGAAGCTTCCAAATGGACATTTCTAATCCCAACTTCTCCTGTCACATTGCTAGCTGCCTGCCCACTGGCCACCCCCAACAAAGATCCATCAAATTTGAAAGGGTAAATCAAACCTGAAAGGTCCATTTATTGTTGTAAATTCCATAACTTGGTGGCTTAAAACAACATCAATTTATTCTCTCACAGTTCTAGAGGCTAGAAATCTGATTCATTTCTTGCCTCTTCCAACTCCTGGTGGTCCCTGCACTTCTTGGCTTGTGGCTGCATCACTCCAACCTCCACTGCCATCTTCACAACACCTCTTCTTTTCTTATAAGTACATCAGTCATTGGATTTAGGCTCACCCTAAATAAAGGTCCACTCCCCCTTCCCTCCAACACTGCTAGCTGCCAGGTTTTTTGCCCACAGTTCTCTCAGCCCCTAATTTCCTTCCTAAATCTTACTAAAAGACCATCTCAAACACTACTTCCAAATGATTATCTCATGTGTACAGGCAGCATCCTGTTTTTTCCTTCATCACAGCACATTATCTCCTTTGCCATCGCTACTGTTTGCTGTTGAGGTGCCTGGAACACCAACCAGATGGTAAACTCCAGTACTGCTGTACTCACATTCCAACAGGAGGACCCTGCCCTAACTCCACAGCCACTAGGAATGGTGCATTCAGAGTCACCCGCGTTATTCAAATGTCTAAGCATCTCCTTTATTTTAAGCTTGCTCAAATAATGCTTTCTACGACTAAGGATTTTGCTTACACTAGGAATAGCCATCTAACCTAGTCATTCTCAAATACCCAGGGGGAGAAGGGAGCCCCTCACCTTCCAACCCTGGGATTTCTCAAAATATGTACTCTTCCCTAAGGATTGCGACACATTTCCTTGGATTAGAACACTGAATGCTTAAGGTCCCATTTGGCCCAAACACATGAAGAAAAGACTGAAATCTCCATGGTAGACAGAATTCTAGAGTCCCAGCCCTGGTGAACAT